TGTTATTACATAATAATCTGTTATTTATACAAATTTGGTCTCAGATTCGTAAGTCACAACGAGCAGTTTTATATGTAACATCTTCTAGAAACATGTCACGTAAGCTTACCTTTAGACTTGCAATTTAAATACATATCGTGGGCGTTTACGATGCAAGGTTAATTTAAAAGTATTTCAGTGGGAAGCAATAAAATATCTAATGACTGCTAACACATGTGTACACTTGGTTTAAAAAAACGTTTAGGAAACAGAAAGAACAAATGAATGAGAAAACATACTAAAGCATACCTGTAACATTTTTGATTTAACATGTAATATATATTCCTTATTGAAAAATCAACTGCTGAAACAATATGCATTGAAGTCTGAAAGACAAACCCGGAGTGATGAGAAATTCAGCACAAATCTGTCCATAAAACAAAACATATAGCAGATCAAAATACGCAATGTTTAGAATAAAGAAAGACTCTGTAAGTTTTGAGAAAACTTGCTTTGGTTGTAATAAATCTACAATTCAGAAACATTAGTATTCAAATATATTATACTAAGTGAAATACTTAAAACAACGGCAAAAATGATACATTATTGTAATCTTATATAAAAAATAGGAATTACATCTTAAAATTTAGTTTAAATGGGATATGGAACGCTCTTTTAGTTTGGAAATTATTGCAGAAACCAGAAGGAACATTATACATTATTTTAATGGTTGAAGAGAATGTTCTCTTCGAGGTTTGTACTTTTCAAATGTTTTAGTATACTTAGTACCTGAAAAAGTGTAATAATAACATACTTATGAAGTGCAGAAACATCTTTCACTTGCTTTCTGAATGTATTATCAACATAAAAACTTGAAATTAAGAAGTGGAATATCATTGAATAAAGAAAAATTAAAGAATAAATCATTAAAGATAGAAACTTATTCTTATAATGAGTACTTCTATTTTAGATAGTATTTGAAATAATTATAGAAGCAGTTAGTAAAATTACTATAAGATGCAAATATTATGGGATTGCTCACCTGCTTTTGTATGAAATAAAGTACAGTCATGTGATGATAGCTTACACTGTGACTGCCTGAGTTCAAACCAATCAGATAGTGTTATTCTAGCATAATTCAATAAAAGTAAAGCAGTTACTATTCCCAGCAGTGGTGTGGTATCATTCATGGCTCTAAGGTCAGAAATAAGACATTACAAACGTGTAGAAATTAATAGTTCTTGTAGTTAAAGGTTACTCATGCAATAAACAGGGGTGAAATTTCATGTTTCATTAGGGGATGTATGAAAATTCGGAAGGGGTTCTTGAAATTAGTACTATTGATAACAGAAACAGTCGAGATAGAAAACCCAAAGAGACCAGTAGATATCTTATCAACGGTCTAATTGTACTTGCAAGATAAATACACAATAGCATGAAGTGTCCCCAGTGGATGCACAGCTGCTCAAAAACTAATGCTTAGAAAAGATAACCAAACCAAAGGCTGAAATGGGCATCAGACTTACAACAATGAAAAAAAAAGAAAAGAAAAACTGGAAGCGGATGCTCTTTACAGATGAATTCAAATCAGAATTGTTTGGCAACGAATAAAGATAGTTTATTTGATGGTAGGAAGGAGAACAATGTACAAGATCTACTGTAAAGTATGCTGTTAACAATACAAGTGTAGGTTGCATCTCAGCCAATGGTGTTAGAGATCTACAGAAAATTAATGACACGCTGACTGCTGACAGTTACATTCACATTTTTCTCCATTATGTCATTCCCTCAGGAACAAGACCTGTTGGGAAGGGATTCATCTTTCAGCAAGAGGGTGATACTAAGCTTGCAGCGAATGTGTTGAAACTATGAAAAAGAGGCCAACAGAACACTTGCCACCATGGTTGATCTGAAGAAAGTCTCGATACAAATACCACTAAAGCTGTATGTGTTTATATGAAAACTGAGTAGGTCAATAGGCAGTCAAAGACACTGGCTGAATTGTTGGAGTAATACAGAACATTTGAAACAATATTTCATCATAATACATTGATGAACGTGTGATAACATAAAAACCACATATACTGCTCCGTTTGAAGCATATAGAAAATGTTGATGCATTCTACAACTTCTATTTTCTTTTGTAGTTTCTGTCTTAGTCTATTATGCTAATGATTCTTTGAACACTTAGTTGAAGTTACCCATTGTTTGTGACTCCTGTATCATGTCTGTCTTTGCTGCAAATTGGAGGAGGAGGGAGGCATAAAAGCTAAGTAAATCTTACATAGCTGTTAATAATATTGTATGTACAGTAACTGGAAAAAGTGGGGAAGACACATGCCCCTTCTGCCCTATGTCATGTATATATATCAACTGTGCGTTTCCATAATTATCTTCAATACAGCACATACTTTATAATTCTAATTTAACAATCAATGAACTGTGAATCCCAAATATTACGATCAAAAAAAGCCTTGTTTTGTTTTTGTAAAACGTTCCTTGATATAAGCCTTACGAACTTAAGAGTTTTTCGAAGCAAAAAACGATTGAAAAAAGAATGAAACATACTCGGGAACTTACATTAAAAAAAAAGACAAATGAAATCAATTTTTGTGGAAATTATCAACTAAACTCAACGATTTATGAGTGGACAAATGCTAAATATGTGATAATCTGTGCTCAAGTAAATCACTTTCTACTTCTAATTGCCGTATTTATAGTGTCCATCTTCAGTATGAAGTGACAAAATTGAGGAACGTATATATATATCTTTAGCAACCTCTGTTCATTATACCGACTCAACTATTCACATCATTTCCCTTTATGATTTGTTGTTATTATTTATTTTTATGATTAATACGGCGTGTAGTGCATACCTTAGATGATGCATATATAAATACTTCGAAAAGTATACACCCCATATGTTTTATGCATTTCCTATTTCCGTTTATCCATTTATTTATCACTAGCGTTGCATAAGATTATTGATACGTATGACTATTCTTATTCAAATTGTAAATCATTGCATGCACACGACAACAAATCTATATTTGATATCTTTATACTTCTTATTTCTTACTTAATAGATTACACACCTGTATTTGGTCCATAATCAAATATCGAATATGTGCAAGTAGAGACTCATAAGAAGACGCGCATCTGGTTATGAACGGAATCCACCTACTCTTATCAATACTTTTTATCGTGTATGTTGTACAGTTTGAAAGATTCAAATAGAAACAATATTGTACTGCTAACTCTACTATCTTATCTATTTTACTGGTAATAAAACACAAGACTATTTCAATATAAGCATATATCCTTTCTACACATATTCGCGCAATCTTAGACAGGGAGAACGTTTCTGTGCAACAACTTCCCAGTCACATGTTGATACTGAAACAAACTTTTAAAAACACTTGGGTCACCTAAAGTTAAATTACATAAATACATATGGTTTTGAACTTAAGTGGTTTTCTTCACAACATATTCAGTGTACCTGACAAAGACTGGTTTTAGAAGGAACCAATGTGATTTGTAATAAGCAATCAGACCTGAACAAACGCTTTTGGAGTTATTTCTTAAATGGCACTGGAAACTTTAAACTATTATAGCATCGACACATTTGCTTAAAACCCGAAATTGGTGGTTTTAGTGCCATTGTGAACAAAGTCAGAACAGTAAATAATAAAGCATGCAAGGTTCTAGAACAACAATATTCCAATCCGGACTTCCAATGAAACGAGAACGCAAGTTTCTACCGGATATCGATCAAAAGATTACTGATATCGAAACTTTGTCGAAGGACTATACAAAATAGCATCGGACTTTTCTGTATGTATTACACATTTTGTAAAGATAACTGTAAATAACTGCATGGGTTAAGTATTTTAAAACAGTTACATGCACGTAAATGTAAGCTGTATGTTTCTTTGGTAAGAAGTTTCTCTACAGTTTAGAAAAACATTCTAAATACACTGAAGTTGAAAGTGAAAACCATAATAAATAGCGGATTTATTAAAGAAAAACAAAATCATATACTCAACTGCTTAGTAAAGTTGTTCAGTCGGATGTACCAAGTCTAATATAACTCAGGTAAATGTAGATCTTTCGTTATAGATATTGTTGTTAACTAAACATCGTATAAAAAACAGGAAATATTACTTGTGACGATAATGAAATATAGTTTCGGGCAAATCAAACAGAATCAAGTAAAATACTACCAAGATTACGGTATTTTAAAACACGGTTTATCATTTGAGAAACACTTCAGTATCAAGAGCTTTAGATAAAGATAAAATAAAACATTTTGAATAATTCTATTGATGATACTCAAATTAAACAAGGATGACGTTTGAAATTCATAACCTAGAAATACGTACAGAGCTGTAAGTAAATTATTTTATTTTCGAGTTTCTTTTTCTCTGATTTTTTGTTAAACATTTTCGTAAATTCAAGGTTTCGGCGGGAAACAATTCCATCATTCAGAAGGCCCAGTTTGAAGCAAATAACTGTACATGAGGTACATTTGTGAGAACCGTGAAACGACATTTACTTTGCACTTTGAACAAAAAAGAACAACAGAATTTCTACAGTTCTGAAGTGAAGCTGTCTTATGATAAAATGTTTGAAATGGATTCTAAGAACTGACGAATGAAAGTAAATGAGAATATGTGAACCACAACTATGAGGCCATTTGCCCAGTACCACGACTCATCAGTCCGGCTGGAATACGATAAACATAGGCGCTATTCATATAATCAATTCAAGTAAATGAATTGTAGTTATTATCAATGTCACAAAATGCAGTTCAGCATTGTATAATCAACATTGGAAGTGTTAATCTTTTATTAAGACAAATTGGAAACAAAAATATGTTTAAGGCAGCGTCTTAAACCTTCACCAAACATTTGATGTTATCACCCTTTAATATAGCGATAATCATAAAAATGTACCTTCAATAATAATGTAATGTTTTAAATTGCATTGCCTCAGTGTCATATCGATGTTATCAGACCTACTTGAGTCATAAGTCGATCGGCTCCGGTACCTTCTTCGTCCTTGAATATGATATCCGAATTGTAATTTGGCACCAGTTCCTGAAATCGCTCGTCATCTCGTCGAAGTATCCCTTCGTTCAGGCCGCTAGCCGCTAGCGTCTTCTCTGCCACATTAGGTACGTGCTGTTTAAAAACGAGCGGGGTGAGCTTGCGGGAGCTTCGTCTGATGCCGCTGCCACGACCGGGTCCGCACCCCGTACCTGGCCGTATCAGAAACAGGAGAAGAACTGCTAAAGCTCTACCCCATCGTCGGTACCGAGGCCGAGTAGATGATCTTAAAAACATATGCAATAAGGCAAACATGATCTTGAAAGATGATTAATCAGGTCAAATAAAATATCTCCACCTACGCCAGGTTTTGGTTTTCAAAAGAAGCAAAGTCATAATCGCGTGTAAACTTGTCACGACATTCAGTTCATACACTCATTAATGCCTAAGGTGTACAGTGCGGTAGTGATAAAGACGTATTGAGTTCTTCCTAGCGCCCCCTACCAACACCCCTTTAGTTTGTTATACTTACAGAGACAGGCTTATTGTTGTTAACGTTTCTATAGGCAAAATTAAGTGAAAATAATAAGCATTTGTAATCAGAAATCACGCATTTTGGTTGCTGCTGTTTCAAAGTTATGATTGGTGGAGCCTCAGATAACAGTGACTCAAGACTGTGACTACAACGTATGTGATGTGAACCGCTTCCTATTAAATGAGGCCAAGCTACCCACAGTATCCAAACTGCAGTACGTTATTAGTGCCATGGATTCTGCCCAGTCTGGCTGTACGAAACACACTACTCAGTTATGACCACTGGTCACCTGTTATGGCCATTACAAACTAAGTGAACTTTCTCCGAGTATCTGTCCGTTTCTTAAAACTTGGGGGCGGGGGAGGATGAGGTGCAGGAACCATTTTACTCCCCATCACTATACCTTATTACCAATTGCTATACAAAATAGGTTTGATATGATAGTACATGCATCGCCCATAGGGGACGGACTTGCAAAACTAGCAACCAATCATAACGGGGATCTACTGGAGTCAGGAAAGAAACCCGCTTATGGCAAATCTCACTTAACACTCCGCCAAGCTTTAAGAACTACCTCGGAAGTATACATGATTACGCTCACAAAATCAACTAGATACTCGTTAGGTATCACATATAATCCACTTTTTTCGGTGAATCATTTGAAGTGTAGCTTCAGAACTAAGTAAATCTTGCTTAACATTAATTTGACGGCTCACATTTCAATAAAGCTATCTTCTTATAACGCTGCCCTTTGCAACAACTGTGTACCACAAGGTTACCAAAGGCCTTGCGGTAATTAAATCTCTTCATCAAACAACGTTTTGCACTTGGATAATCAACAGTGCTATTATCTCAATATTTTGATGTTAGAGGTCGCTCTTATCTTTGAGCAATGTTCCAGCTATTTACTCTGTCGCTTAGGTGATTCATTTAGATATAAAAGTATTCCAAGTGTTACCCAGAGTATTTTTCTATTCAAAAAAGGTAAGAACTGGTAAAGATAGTGTTATCATACACATTATCATTTTTCTTCTTATAAGCAGAAATTCACTCATCTTCTCTCGAGCTCAAACTCTGAATCGTCGAATTTGATGAAAATGTAATTTTCGCGTGGTTTGTTTTGCTTTGCTTCTAAATTAAAGAATGTTTAGAATAGCCATAATTAATTCTCAGTTTTAAAAATTATCTTCCAGAAGTTCAGCCACATGATCCGAGTTCGGTCTTATATCAGTGAAACATTTTAATTGTATGTCTAGCTCTTCCCGAAATGCTCTTTTTGCTTCCTTTTATTACACAAATCCCTATAAAAAAATAAGAGTAAAGCTCGTATTTTGCCACAACTTTCTTTTTGATCAAAATTATATATATATGTTTTTGTTCAATTTATCTTTAATCTATTAAGTGATCACAGCTTCTAAGTTTAAAAGTTGTTGTCTGAAGTTAGGCGTAGCAATTATCTCTCTTCTGCTTAGACAAGGTATTTTGTTACTGCAACTTTAAACAGAAAGTATCCATTAATTTTATGACACCGCGCCATAAATAAAAATGTTAAGTACTCAACTGATAACACCTAAAAACGTAGTAGAACTTTCCTGATGAAAAACAAAAACACCTAGTTCATAAACTTTGAATCGTGGATTATCATACATTTGTAATTTTGTGTTTTGTATTTTTATAGTGTTTTATTTCAGATGGGCCAGAAACAATATTAATAACATTTAACCTTAACTTGGTACACAAAGACAACTAAACGATACTGTATCCCAAAAATCAAAATAAAATGGATCACATGCTTTCATATAATTCTCAAACAAAATTTAAAACAGTTTGTATAATTGTTATCTTATATAATAAAATTTCATACTGAGAAAACATAATGTTTTGGAATATAGGCTATCTAATAAAATAAACGTTATAAATCTTAGCTAAATATTTATTATTTAAGTATATCGCTAATATGTTCATATCAGTTTACGTCACACGAAACAGGACTTTGTTCCTTAACGCTTCGGTTATGCAACACATATTTTAGGTAAGATTTAAAATTTCTAATTGACATTCTTGCGTGTGCAAATTTATTAATAATTTGTTTGCTTGTTGTTAAGCACAAAGTTACACAATGAGCTATCTGTGCTGTGCAAACCGCAGGTATCGAAATCCGCTTTTTAGCGTAATAAGTACTCAGACTTACCGCGGAGCCGATACGTTTGTTTGTAGTTATGCACAACGCTACACAATGGACTATCTGTGCTCTGCCCACCACCGGTATCGAAACCCGGTTTCTAGTGTCGTAAATCCACTGACATACCGCTGTGCCACTGGGGGCGGAGCCAATAAACAAAGAAGTATGATTTCGCACTTCAGCACCTATAAAACGAAATAATATTCCGAAACCAACCAAATACAGGACATAATTTTGTGTTAAATAGCCATTATATAAACGGTATGCGTACGTAGAAAACAAAACAAAACATCAACTAACAGCATACATTGGTGCCCCTCTCCTCCAGAGACTCAGCGGTACGTCTGAGGTCATTTCTGTGGGTTCAGATTGAAATAGGTTTATTATTTCAAATTTATTACTTTCTTTCTCTATAAATGTTAAACTACTCGAGAAGGATCGATCCCTAAGCTAAACTGAACGTGATCTTTAAACCTATTAAATAATAGAGAACATTTTCAATTAATGTCCGTATCCTGAATAATCTGCGATAATGGTTAACTTATAAACCTACTTTATTAGCATAGCCTGAAAATATCTTTCAATTTTATTTTTTGTGAGCATGTGGTTTTTGGTTAATTAAAACGAGATTGTTTCTAGTTAAGTTCAAATTAATCATCTATAATTTTGAATTGATTTCATGTTAAACCTCTTAAAAATGGTTAATTTGGATTTTGATATTTTATTATTAAGACTTTCCTGTGGTCGAGTCTCCACCCCGCAGTGGCTCAGTGGTAAGCATGAAGGCTTATGACGCTAAAAAACTGGGTTTTGAGACAAGCATATAGCCCATTGTTTAGCTTTCTGCTTAACTACATACAAACAAACAAAATAGCCTTTCCTTAAAAAACATCTAGCTAATATGTTTCACTAAAGGCTATATATATGTGTATGTATACAGAAACACATCCACGATGAGCTCGACACATTATTCTTCATTTGGATCCCGTGTCTCTTTCCAAAAATGTTTTTCAAGGGCATGCTTCCTGCATTTCACTTATAATTGCCATCATATATGTGTATGTATACAGAAACACATCCACGATGAGCTCGACACATTATTCTTCATTTGGATCCCGTGTCTCTTTCCAAAAATGTTTTTCAAGGGCATGCTTCCTGCATTTCACTTATAATTGCCATCATAGTTTCAATATTAGTTTCCTACTGTATCTTGCTCATCAAATAGAAAGAAATATGAAAAAAATATTCTTACACTATTTGAATACATTTCGGACAAAACGTTTTGTTTGTGTTAAAGGAGATATTTAGACAAATTTTCTGTGGTAGTTTAATTATTTACCTTCTGGCACCTTTAACATGGGGCTGGTTTAGCGTACTGGGCAGCCGGCGAAAAAGTCCAATGTATGAATGAGTCTTCGAGAAGTTGCTGAACACGCTCGACACATACAGAAGTGGACACGTTATAGAAGTGACAGTCAGTCTTGCTATTCGGTTAAGAGTAGCCGAATATGTGAGAGGTACTGCTAGTGTAAGGAATTTTTAAGAACTCAAACTACCACAAATATAATTATAGTATTTTGGCACTTGTGTATAAAGTTAAAAGTTAACGTTGAATATTATTTATGATTTTTTTACCACAAATATAATTTTCTATGTTTGGCCAGAAATTCTAGGGATCTTTTGACAGATTTTATTTTAGGTAATGACAGTGGATGTATTACAGTTAAATACAGTTTTTCCACAACGTAGGATGGTGCTTAACAAAATGTAAAAATATACATTTGAAATAAGAGTATAGTTTACAAAAGACAGAAAATAATGGTGAGTTTTGTAAATGAATCGAATAGGATACATAGTTAAGGTGACCATTAAACCAATGTTTAATAATACAAATTGCACACTGACCGACTAACAGACAGATAAAAAACATAAAGTTTTTTTTTCACACAAGTTTTCTCGCTCGTTGCTGAAGCCAGTATTTCTTACAACAAAAAAACTAACAAGGCTCAGGAACAAAAGTGGTGCCAAGAATGTAACCAATCACACCTGAAACATTTTATATGCTAGCGTAGCCACAATATATGAAGACTCATAGTCTATAAAAAGTGTATTTTGCCATACAAAAGAGACCAAAGGATCAGCATACACGGTGACTAGAGACTGGCTATATGATAAACATTTAATATATAATACCTGTGATAGCTAGTTTCAATGACTCAAATACTTTCTGGTTTTAGATGGTACAACACACTTTATGTTTTTTTACACTCACAGTGTTAAGATGTTCCTCCTCCAGATCTTAAGGCTTACACTGATTTCTAAGACTTTCTTACAGGAAACTCATCAGTGAGAAGTGTCAAATATTGAGCTTGTTTGCTAAATAGTGTCTTCATCTGTATTAAGCATGCTTTGTGTGAAAAATAAACATCAGAGTTTTAATTATTATGTGCATTATTCCGCGCTATGCAGGAATCGAATCACTGGGATATTCATTTTAGGTTATACAGAGATTTGTGATGACAACTCATCACTAGCTAAACAGAACTCTCCACTTACACTTTCGTAGAACACTCTTTATTTTTATTTTAAAAATAAACTGGTCATGACATATATCATATGGCGATTTGAGCCTTATAATGACAGCTTTTAGTCGTACGTGGGCTAGTCTGAAATTCAATTTGTAAGAAATCTCTACGACTTTCCAAGGGCATGGAAGCATGTGCCTGGCTAAGAGATACATTGAAACCGAATTCCATTTCTTTGACTGGTTTTCAAAGATTGTTTATTTGTTTTTAATTAAGCATAAAGCTACAAAATGGGCTATCTGTGCTTTGCCCACCAAGTCTATCAACAGTGGCGATCATTTTTTATTCTAAAACAGTTTAGCTGCCACCTGCTGTTAATTGACCAACATTAAAAAAACTAGTTGAGAGGCTT